GCAAGTCAAAGGTTTTGTTGATTTATATTAATGCCCAAAAGAAAAAGTTATCTTCTCTACCCATTATAGATGGCAGTCACTAGGCTGGAAGTAGAAATTAAAGAATTCCTGCACCTGGAATTTGGGTAATATTTCACATTGCCTTAACTTTAAATGCTGCTTTCCTTTCCTCCAAGTCTGGCTTAGCTATTGATGACCTGTGGAAAAGGCTTTTTATCCTGTTTCCCAACAGAGAACCAGAGGGAGTTTCTTCACCTTCCACCTAAGGTCAGTTTAATTTCCACCTTTTTGAGGGACATTTAATGTATTCCATTATTGTAATGCAAACAGTTTCAAACATTTTTACATTTAACTTGATAAACCTTGTCAGCCTATCCCAAACTATCTTATTGATTTCTTTATTCCAGAAATACTTTACAAGTTGAAATCTCAGGCTATCTAAAACCCTTAGTTGCTTGTGTAAATGCTAGGAAATCAACCCCCCTTGGCATCTCTGGCAGAGACCCCCTGACTTTCTTAAACTTCTTCAGCAGAATAATTGCTTAAATTGTGCCTGTTTTAGCACACATTGATGAAATCACCCTATGGTATCCTGGGCCAAAGGCTTCCCATAAAGGAGTTTCCTATGAGGCCTCACATCTATATCTGGGTTTGAAGTGACACTGCTGAAGACTATTTGTTTCATCTGAGCCTTCGTGTTTGTCTCTATTGTTTGCCTAGTTCTAGTGCCAGTTCTGTTTTATAATCAACCAAAGCTCTAGATGCTAGACTCATCTAAGTTCATGAGATAACTTGGCAAACCTTGACAAATTCTAAATTCAGAAAAGACCAATGTATACATCTGAATGCCAATTTATTAATTTAAAGTTCTATATAGAACTACCAAGTTGAAGCCAGGCATGGTGGTGCATGCCTGTAATCCTAGCAGCTCAGGAGGATCGAGAGTTCAAAGCCAGCCTCAGCAAAAGTGAGGCTCTAGGCAACTGAGTGAGACCCTGTCTCTAAACAAAATACAAAATAGGGCTGGGAATGTGGCTCAGTGGGAAAGTGGCCCTGAGTTTAATCCCTGGGACCAAAAAAGAAAAAAAGAACTACCAAGTGAATCACACACTCATAACCACCTTCAAGTTGTTTGGCAACCTACCCTGAGGAAAGTCAAAGAAAGTTTGGGGGGCTTGGTTTTTGGCTTAGCAGTAGAGCGCTCACCTAGCACATGTGAGACTCTGAGTTCAATCCTCAGCACCACATAAAAATAAAGATATCATGTACACCTACAACTAAAAAAAATATTTTAAAAAAGCATTCTGTTGCTGGGTGCAGTGGTACATGCTTGTAATCTCAGCAATTTAGTAAGAACCGGTCAAAAAAAAAAAAAAAAAAAAAGAACTGCATATGTAGCTCACTAGTAAAACTCCCTTGGGTTCAATTCACAGGACCAAAGATAAAAGTATTCTGTTATGTATACGGATATACAGGTGATTCTCATTATTCAGAGTAGTTATATTTTATAATGTCTGTGGACATGGAATGGGTAAATACTATGACTTGTGCCTGAATAAAGCTAATCTAAGGAATTTTCACTGGAAAGCCTTCCTGTGCTTAGGAACCCTAAACAGCATTAAGCAATATCCTTTGGGGCCATTTTAAGCAGCAAAAAACACAAAGTGGCAAAAGAGCACCAAATGGTCCATGAAAAGTACAACTTTTTAATACTATGAGGGCTAAAACAAGGCCGAAAAGTATACTTTTTATAATATGAGAGCTAAAACTAGGCAGAACATCAGAGTGCTGTGCCTCATTTGGGAACGTGTGTACTGGGAACTTGCCAACTTTCCACTGCTCTACATGTCCATTGCAAGATGATGTGAGCCAGGCTGGGTTCCACATAAATTTTACTAAATACATGAACTTGTAAATGCAGAATCCTGGAACAATGAGGCTCAAATGTTGTAGCTTCTCCTTTGGTCTGTGGTAGACTGACCAATTTCAGTATTTTAGGTTTAACAGCTATTTCTAGTTGCCTTAGGGAGTATAGTTTGAACAAGATTGGAGAACATTCAAATTCTGAATTATACAACCCAACTAACAATTCAATTAATGAAAAAAACAAAGCTTCTACCTGCAAAGTAGTGTTATTGGGAGATTTACTCCATTAGTAATGTTCGCCAATGTTAACTTTCAAACTGCCTTCGGTGCTATTTGGACTCACTAAAATGAACTTTAACTTCTTTGAAGTGCAAATAGATTTAAGGAAGGCTCTGCAGAAGCTGGATATTAAAGGTGAAAACTTAATGAAAGAAGCAGTCTGGGTTTTTCCATGTGTTGGGTTTTTATATTGATTTGAAAACCTCCCACCTCAGTATTATGTATTTGTGGCAGTTATTGAGGTTTCTCTATCATTGGCTTATTCAGTGTAAATGATATTACAATGAACCTGGGATCCTCCAACTGATAGTGCCCTCAGTGCTCTGTGCATGCTCCAAAATTGAAAAAGTCCTTTAATCTGGTGACACCCAGTTTTAGTTTGTTTTTGTTTTTTTAGTTGTAGATGGACACAATACCTTTATTTTATTTTTATGTGTAATTAAATGCCCAAATATGTGGCTCAAGAGTAAGAATCACCAGCCTTTAATAAATGAAGCCTGTGTGGTGCCAGGGATGAAACCCAGTGCCTCAAACATGCTAGGCAAGTGCTCTACCACTGAGCCACAACCCCAGCCCCCAGTTTTAGTTTTAGGAAGGTAATATTTGACCCTAAAGGAGGCCACTTAGTTTGTGGGAGGGGTTTCCCTTCACCTGAAGTAGAGTGATCTGTGTTCTAACAAAAACTATTCTAGACATCTAGAGCCCCCT